TAGTAATTAAGCACCTGCAATCATTTATAATATAATCGTAATTTTATTAACTAAAGCAGTGCATTGATTGGTGACAACAAATAATTAACTGCATGTTTGTTTCTGTTTTTATCATAATCTAATCCTTCAATTGGTGATAATATGATATCATTATTCAAATAATTATTTACTAATGATTATTTTTCATTCATTTATTTTTCATTACCGTTTCACCTTTCTGGTATCGGAGACAGGCACGACAGATAGTGCTTCCATCGTTCCTGATTCGATGTCAGCGTGTTAACTTTGACACAAGACAACCGGAGTCGAAAGAACACTCGTTCAGTACAGTTGCTTCAGGCTAAACTGTCCTTCCTTGAGTCTTCTGCCGATCGGCTGCTGGGCAGGCAATAGTTGCTAGTGATTATTGCTAATGATAAATGCTTAATTATTCCTTACCATTTATTATTTCATTTGATTCTATGTCTGTGAGATACAACCGATATCGGACTTGACTAAATAGGTATTCACGAGGAAACGATGGATAACAGTTAAGTATGCAATGACGGAGATTGTAGTAATTAATCAGCATGGAAAGCAAAGTCTGTTGTCTAAATGGACGGCAAAAACGACGATTGCTTATTTGTAGCACATCGTAAGGTAGTGGAAATGGCATAAAACGCTTTTTATTTGCAATGACCAGTGCCGACCCTGTTGTTCACGGGTTTTATTCAAGGTAAGGAGGTTATGGTTGGCTTCGGAAGTCGTGTTTGTAGATCTTGTGCTGTAGAATCATGGTCAATTTTTCACGACACTCATTTTTCGTATATCAGAATTTTAGTTCTGCATAGCGATTTCTCTTTCAGTTTCTGCATCATCAGCAGAAGTTTCTGCGCGTAGCAGAGTTAGGGTATGGCGGTAGTATTAGATAGCACCTTATAGTAGTAGGTATGTAGGCATGAGTAACGTTGACGATTACTTGAATCTAGTTAAACATCTCGATGAACATTTTTTATTCGCTAAATTGATTTAATCTTAAGTAATGACCATTTAGTTATTAAGAAGATTGATCACAGCTTCAGTTTACTATTATCATGGATATGTTGAAGTACATGTTTAATATTCTGTTTATTGATTGCATCTGCTGTAGGACGCATTGGCTTTGGTTCGACTGGACGACTTGTTCATCGAATCCTTCGAAATCTGTGATGGTAAGTAGGCGTTCACTTGTTTTTATTCGTCTGAAGCGTCACGCTTTCTGTATCGGTAATATGTTAACCTTTTGATTCTCATTAAGCTTTATTCGGGGATAGTTACAGGTGTACAGTTTCTCTTTATACTTTTAGCGCAGTTTTCTGACAAATTTGTCTTAAAATTATCAGATCTGTTCGTTTTATGCTCTATTTTTGTTGTTTTATTTTTATATGTGAAGTAGATTTTACTCTTCTGCAGTCACTGAATGAGGAAATCAGCAAAAGTAGTTTTATATAATAAAGCTTAAAATGTGGGTTTAGTTGGTGATAAAAAGTTCACCATTTTGGTGCGGATTTTACTTTTTTCTGGGTAGCGTAGATGATTGACGGCCTTAACGTTTCTGGCAATCATTATTTCTGCCAGTAACAAGAAATACTGTTAATAATCACCTAGCTTCCGCAGAATAAGTTCTTTGAAATTCAAATCGAAACGTTGTTGCTGGTTGAAACTTCTTTCTCCGTTGCGTCGTATAAGACCTGTTTTGTACAGGTCAGTATGACAAGAAATGCTTGATGAACATTATAAAGAATATAAGATACAATGAATCAAACAGCTTCGTTGCCTGAACGCAATTAACACATACATTACCGCTTTCTGGCTGCCAGAACCGAAACTAGGCCCTTTAAGAAAGCTGCAGCGCCTAGCAGTTTA